CCATTTCCTTCTTTGTTGCTCCATTAGCACCGAACAGATTTCTATTTTGAACAAATGTTCAGAGAAATCTCATTCATATACACAGAGACACATGAAGCATCCAATTTTTTTTTAAGAAAAAAAAAAAACAAAAGGTTTGTAATACCCTTTACAGTTCGTGGCTTATCTTCTTGACGACATGCAATGTAAAGACAAGCAGCCAAGATTGCATCTTGGTTTCTTCCTCTACTCGATTTTTGATCTTCTACTTTCTTGAATATCTCATTAGCTCGATCCTATTTACATAAAAACAACAAGAATTCTATGAAAAAAATAAAAGGGTATGAAAGATTGTAATGACTAATAACTAATAACCCCTCCCACATGGATAGAATCATAGAAAGTAGGAAGTAAGTGATACAGAGGTTATATATTGTCATGGATAGCAATAGCATACCTTAATTGTTGCAACAAGGCCCAACCTGAATGACAAATGAAATGCATTAGATACTATAAAGAGCTAAAAATGGAATTGCCATCGGTATATGTAAGAATGAGATATGTATGAACCTCATATTTTGGCAAAATTATTTATGCAGAAAAATGAAATTCATATTTTGGTAAGATGATTGTTCAAGTTAAGAAATTGAATATGCCAAAATGAAACAAGGTGTTTGAATTTTGAACCAAAGTTACTTGTTTATAATCTAGTCTTGAAAGAGCACAATCAGTTTAGAAATTTTATGCCCATTAAACAAGTAAGAAGCTTTCATAGGTTAGATGTTTCTTGAATAGTTATTAGTCCATGTGCTCCATGACAATTGCAAACATTTCCATTTTTGAATGTCCTAAGAAAATGGCAAAATTCCCTTTCAGTCATTTTTAAGGTATAATACAAATTTTGCCTATAGTCATCAATCAAAGTTGTATTGTTAAATTTTGGTCCATAGTTTCCATTGGCTACTCATATAGAAACCCTATACCTTCAACATATAAATCAAACAATGTTCAAACATCAAAGCTAAGGTAGTATAACAAAAAGGTTTCATCTTGCCCTAGCATCTCTGGATCCTGATGGAGTTTCAAAATATAAATTACCAAAATTTCAATAACCTCGGGACTAAACAGAACCCTAAATAATCACAATTTCAAGCAGACGTATACAGATAAAAGTACTGTAAGAATCACACCTGTCAGACATCGTTGCGATTGTTTTAAACGCCATGATTAGAGACCGATCCGGATTCGACCCTCGGTTCTGCCATCGTCCCAAAGACGATGACAGGAAATCGCTGGTGACGCCATTAGGTTTGGAAATCACGGTTGACAAGCCGCCGTCGTTGAGAAGGACATTGGTAGGGCCACCGACACGGACAGGATCGTTATCCCCTGACTCGTTGGCGAAGGTACGCCACTCGGACGTCTCGTCGATGGAATGGGACTCAAGGACGAGTCCACACTCGGAACAGACGGTGTCTCCGGCGGAGTGGTCGAACACGACCTCGGTGCTCTTTCTGCAGTCGGAGCAGTACGCATCTGCCATGTCTTTAGGATTTAATTTATCTTTTTTGCACAAATTTATGTAATTATCTCTGAGGTTGATGTGGGAATTTGGAGATTTGGTGGATAAAAGTTCAGATCATATGATTTCTTTAGAGTTTGCAATCTGACATTGGTGGGGAGCCGCCGAAGGTGAAGTAACGGAGAAAACTCGAAAGGGCAAAGATTGCCTCTCTGGGGATTTTCTTAGGCGGTGGTTTTTACGATATTAATTGCTTTATTAATAATAATTTCCTCACTAAATTATCTGAAATATCTTATTTTTATTATTAGATCTTTTTTCACTTGATTCGTACGTTTAAAAATCTCAATTAGGTTCTATTTTTTCTTTTATCAATATAAACTACTTTTCATTTGTTTATCCACTTAGGTTTTTTAATTTTTACTACACTACTATCTATTTTCATAAAGAGCTCGTACATAACTTTCTTTTGTTGACACTTAGTTCATGTCACGATGTTGCTTCTTTTGACTAGTTGATACCGTGTGTCATTTAACATATTTCCGGTTAAGTCATGCTAACTTTGTTTATTTGGATTAACTAATAAGTAAGCAAGATATTAAAGCTATAAGGCTTTGATATGGAAACACGTATGTATATTACTTCTAACTCTCAAGTATACAAACCATTTCTCGGTGGTTTGGATCAAATGACTACACCCTTATTTATAGGGACTTTACACCTCCTTTTTGGGAAGATTCTAGATCTCGTATATTCTTAACTACTCTAGATTGTTATATCAATGTCTATATGACTATATCAAGACTATTATAGATTCTTCCATCTAGTTTTATACTTATTTACAAGGCTTGGTAATGTTTTAGACTTTTCTCTAATATCCTAGAGAAGTCTAGGATGTTCTCGGGGCTTCTATCATTTTCTAAGATGTTTCATACCATTCCATAGACTTCCATGATATTTTAGCATCTTCAAGAATCTTCTAGCATGTTCCATATTTTTTTCACAGTCTTATCAGATATTCTTGAACGTTCAAGAGCTATCTAAAGGGTTTTAGAAACTTCCATAAAGTTGGTATGTGACACCCTCCCACATACAAACCCTTAACATCCTTCATAAGTCTTCAACACGTATATATTGATCATGTCATGTCATGGGACTACCCTAAGTCTTTTCCTCTCTCTAAAATGTTTCTTTGAGTATGACGTGTTTTAGTATCTTAACTTTTTTGTCGTGGATCTTCTCCCAGCCTCGTAGAATATCAGGAAATCTTCAAGTGGGATCGTGATCTAGACTTACACCAACATTTCTCATTGCCTTGAACGTCCTTATTTGGCCCCCCATACCTCCTGATTTGATCATCGTTACCACGTGTTGCTTGTGTATTATCTTCATTCTTATGACTTAGTGTATTCTTCTTATTTATCTTCACAAGCTTTTTGTAACGTCCCGATTTTTCCGAATAAACTTTTTCATTTTTAAAATAGAATAAACACTCATTTTCATAAAGATACAGTCAAGGCAAAAACCATTGTTTCATAAGCTATAATTCAAAATCAGAGTTATAAGGAAAGCAATGTGGAATCTCGAATCATAAAACTGCTAATGTGTGTGTACAATCATGTATTTGCATTCCCACAAATTGATAAAGTACCTGAAAAAAAATTAATCAGCAATTGTAAGCCAAAGCTTAGTAATTTTCCCAAAATACCCCACACAACAATACATATACAATGCATGCACACAATGGCCTTCAGCGCAAGGCTGGTCCGCCCCTTTGGCCTACAGCATCAAGTTGGTCCACCCCATTTGGCCTACAGCATTAAGTTAGTCTTCCCCGGCCTTCAGCATAAAGTTGGTTTCCCCTTTGGCCATCAACATAAAGTTGGTCCAGCCCCGAGTATCTTGGCCTTTAGTATACAGTTCCCTACAACACACCAACATCCTATTATGTAGAGCATCCATATTGTACTACAAAGTATAATGAGAAAACTCACCTGAGCTATCTAGCAGAAGCTCAACAGCAGACCTCAGCAAACGGAACATCTAACGCAAGTTACATAGTGCCAAACCAAGACCAGTCCTTAGTCAAATACTCAATTCTACCCAAGTTTGACCAAATGTCAAACATGTCAAAAGTCAACGGTCAATGTTCAAAGGCAACACTAACCACCGTGTCGCGGCTAATCCCTCTGATCATGTTGTAGTCACTGAAGGAAAAAAAATAGACGTGGGACTTGCAGTCCACCACATCGTGGTTAGCACCTCACCGCACCAGGACTAAATTGATGTGTTCAATTAATATTCTAATGACGTCATCATAAATCAAGAAATCGGGAAACAGAATTTTGGGCAATAAGATTGATTACAATCCATGTCTCATGTCCATATGATATCTTGAAAAATGAAGGAATATTTGATCACTTATCTTAAGGCCAATGTCTGATTTGATCAAAGTTCAACAGTTGCTTTGGAAAGCACATAGTTATGTTTGATTAAAAAGTTATACTTGCAATAGTAGTTATAGACTTATCCAAGTGGTTATGGACATCATTTAAGGACTAGATCTAGATTTTGGACGAAAGAACTTAAGTAATTAAGCTCTTAATAGAAGGGAAAGGAGGCAGCTACATACGTTGGGCGTACCCCAGGTACGTTGCACATACGATGTCAACGACCCCGTTTCTGGTCAAGACTCGATTACGCAAAGCATACAAGTTGAGTATGTTGGGCGTACTCAGCTGAGTTGACTCGGTTGACTTTTTGACTTTTGACTAGGATTTGGCTAAGTTTGACCTAGGGGTATTTTGGGTATTTTGATTATAATTTAAGTTTGGTCATGTTCCAATGAATAGGTGACCGGTAGAGCTGATATTCGAAGCAGTGTCCTGTTCAGTAATCTTTTTAGATTGAGAGGTGAGTTTTTCCTCATTGTACTTGTGGGTCGAAGGCACCAATGTCGACCCACTGAGTTATGTATCCCGGTTAGAGGATGTTGCTATGTTGTAGTGATCTGTTAGATTTGTGTCCTGGTATATAGGATGTTGTTATGTTGTAGTAATCTGTAGATCTGCATGTTTGTTTGTTGACTGGTTATATGATTATCTGTTGATGGATATATGTTATTTGTTATGTATATGTCGACATGCTATGGTGGGGTTGAGACTCTAATGCTTTGTGTTATCTGTCAACAAACTGGGGCATTCAAACTTGAAGGGGTAATCCAACCAGGAAGGTTGTGGACCCAGCATGTATTAAGCACTCCAACCGAAAGGTTGTGGTCCGAGGAATTCCAACCGAAAGGTTGTGGGCCACGGGTAATCCAACCAGGATATTGTGGACCCAGTATATGTTTAGTTATATGTTTGTGTAGTGGTACTTTGGGAGAACTCACTAAGCTTTGGCTTATAGTTTTAGTTTATTATTTCAGGTACTTCATATGATCGTGGCAAGGCGAAGGCATGATCGTGCACATCCTTCAGATTTTATGTTATTTGGATTTTGGGGTACTCTGATTATTGATTATCACTTTTGAAACAATGTTTTGTACACAATTTATGGTTATTTGGTTGTTTTTGAAAAATGAAAATTTTACTCTGGTTTTGGGATGTTACAAGTGATGGGTTTTGGTATACTACAACATCCTATGGTGCACATACAACCCTAAATGCTTTGGATCTATGTTTTCTCTAATTATACATGCAATATTGTTTCCAAAGCATTAAGCCTACAACTATCATACAATTGACATAAACATCATAGAAATGAGTTATAGAATTACCTCTTTGTTGTAGCTTGTAGTTTTGGCCTTTAAGAACGTAGTTCCCCAAGTGTGACACCTCAAATGGTTCACAACACACCTTAGACAAAGGATGACTTTTGAGAGAATATTCTTACACCAAAATCGGCTCAATGATCTCCAAGAACACTAGTGTCTAATTTTGGATGCTAAGGGGCTTCTTATATAGTGTGGCTAGATTAGGGTTACATCCATGCAAACCCTAATGCCCATGACCTTTCATATTACTTAGGATCCATGGGTTAAACCTCCATGGACTACCATATTGGTTTAGCCCATCCTAAATAACCATTGGCCCACACTATAAGAATCATTGATTTACCAAATCAATCCTCATATATTTAATTAATCTCTTTTGATCACTAAATTAATTCCAAATTAATTATTGATCAATACTAATTAAATAATATGATTTCATATTCATATATTAGAACTTATAATATATTAATAAATCATAATTATCCTCTTCTCAAAAGTCCATCCTATCAAATTGTCGTGGTGATGTGCAACCCAAATGGACCATGTTACTCTCGGGTCAAGTACATACCAATTATAGTTATGGGCTTAGACACCTAATCCAACAGTATCCCACTTGGTTAAGTCTAATAACTATTATTGCAAGTACGACTCCAAAATCCCAACTAACAATCGTAGCTCTTAAAAGCCGTTGTCGAACTCTGACCTAGTCAATGACGCGTCCAATAGATAAGGGATCATATATTCCTCCATTCTAGATATCATATGGACTGAGACATGGATTATAATCATTCTCTCTGTCCATCTATTGTTTCCCGATTTCCGATTTATGACAACTGACTAATTGAACAAATCAAATCAGTCCAAGCTTGGCCAAGCACTTCAGGTTTGTCATCACTAAATCATCGAGGGGCCCACAGATATCACTTTTATCCCTCTAAGGGTAAAAGGAATGGATAAACTTCAACTCAAATGCTTGCTTGTACTTACTCATCAAATCACACACAACGATATGTTTTATAACACCAAGTTACTGGTGCGTTTACATATGTCAATGTGCGACCGACTTGTAAATTACAACTCACATGTCTTGGTTTCAAGAATATAAGATATTATCGTCTCATGATCACTCGTGATAAAATCCATGAAGTGATACAAATGAGCGTGGGTTGAATCCAATACTCAAATCTTATTACAGAAGTACTCATGAATACTACAACAAACTTGTGTTATGTCTAACACCTTAGACAATCCTACAAACCCATTCATGACAGTCTTGTCTCAATGCCTACTTCCAAAGTATGATCGACTATGGATGGTTTGAATAACCCAGTTATTCGGGAAGTCAAAACATGCAAAGTGAAACACAAGAATAATACTAATCATATATGTCCCCAAAACTTTTGAGTGTAAATAAAACACATTTTATCTAATCGCCATATTGATTACTCATTATTCATTGTATAATGT